CTTGAGGCCGGCAGTGCACACAGTCAGGCACCTTTGGACCCTCCCAACTGGCGGTACTGATGTTAGGTCTTTCAGTGTGAATCCTTGGTCTTTTCTGGCTGGCAGGGAGGGATCCGAAGGCTAGAACATTTAGAACGATCATCTCATCTTACGGATTGAAGCCTAGAGATGTGAAATGACGTGCCCAAGCTCTTGTGGCTTGTTAGTGGCTGAAGAATTAAAGCCGGAGTCTCCTGATTTGTGCTTTTCCCCAGGGCAGCCCACAGATAGGAATTCTCTTCTATGCCTGGGGCTATGTGAGTGCATCAAAGGGAAGGGAATCTTCAGTGAGCTGTTGCAGACAAGAGCAATGGTGTGCAGTGGACGGGACTTTGAGAATCTTACTGCCCAGACAGTTTGCACCTAAGGACAGACTTCTCCAGGAGCCCACACCCTGACTCTCCCTATGCTGACAGCAGGTCTGCTCCCTCCAAACACCAGGACTTAAAGCCAGCTGCTACTGGGCCCGGATCCGCCCTATCGGCCCATAGGTTAGTAGTCGAGAGAGCCAAGTCGGTCTCTGCCAATTTCTGGACAGCAGTGACCTCTCCATCACTGGGGAGCGCATTACCATTCAGGGGCCCTAAGGCAGCCTCCCCTGACAGCAAGTGAAGATGAAAACAATAAAGTGTGAGCTGTTCCACAGCCCCTGGTCACCCTGGTTTTATTAAAGCCAAAGTCTCAAGCATCACTAATGAGGATAAAAGGCTGGCGGGGAGCATAGGATCTGGGGCTGAAGCCTCCAGAGAAAGGGGGTGGGGCAGAACCAGGATCTGGCAAGGTGGCCCGAGGGTCCAAGCTGGGGCCCCAGCTTTCCAGAGAGGGAGGTGGCTGCCAGGAGGTGCAGACTCTGTTTGCTTGGCCCCCATCCCTCTATTTACTCAAAGGTAACCTATTTATTTTCATATCTCAGATAAGCCAGTCCTCTGCAGTGTGTGTGTGTGTGTGTGTGTGCGCAGGGGAACAGTATCTCCCTTGATCCGTTGAGCCAAGAGCAGCCAATGTGCGGTCAGGCCCAATGAGGCTCAGTCACCCACAGCAGAAGGTCCTGGAACTAGCTTCTTGGCCTCTCTGTTCTCTCTTCCTGCAAGTCATGGGGGGGGGGAGGGGATCTTGGCCCGTTCCCTTTACCAGTGATGGAGAAGGAAGTTCACAGTTGGGAGCAGGGACCAGGGTTGGGGTTAGGGGCCCCCACAGCATGCCGCAGACTCAGCCCTCCGCACGCTCCCCAGCTGCCACAGTCCTGTCAAGAAAGGGCACCCCTGCCGAAGAGGGGCACCCTGCTGGGTTGGTGATCCCCAGGAAGGAGCCATCCTTGGGACCAGTGCATAGAGCCCCAAGTGATTCCATTTACCATGAGAGATGCCCCACACCCCAGGCCGTAAACAAATCCACTTGGACTCTCCCAAACAACACAGCCCTCGAAAGTGCCACTTTACATCGTAGGGGAGCTGCTCCCTTCAGAGGGGCCACAGGATTCTTTCTCAGGCCCTGCCTTGATTGTAACATTGACACTGAGGACCACTCCGTCTGGGGCTCTCCTGGCTGAGATACAACCATCTGTTTCTACATGCATTCATGCAGCTCCTCTCATGCTTGGCCACCTCTGAAGCTCGAGTAGGTGTAAAGCAAAGCCTGGCCCCAAAGGGCCTCCAGTCACTAGATGCTAGTGGGAGGGCACAGTGGCAGCAGAGGGGGGACTTGGTAATGCATCTGAGGGGCTCAGGGGCAGAAGGTGCTGCAGGGGTGTGTTGGGGGGGGCAGAGGTGAGACATGCTCTCTGTGGGCTGGACCTTGGACGAGGACCCCTGCAAGATGCATAGGTTTGTCCACACAGAGACAAGAAGAGGCCCACCAGTCTTGTGGAGCAGGGGGAGTGGCCTAGAAGAAGAGGGAGAAATAATCAGGTGAGGAAGTAAGACAAGACCCTGTTGCTGAGGGTCCTTAATGCAAGCTAAGAAGATGGGCTTTGATTCCAGAAGTGGAACAAGGGGAGCCACTGGGGGTGTTTGAGCAGCAGCACATCTGTGTAAATCTGGCACCAGAGCACTCACTAGGCATGTGACCTCGGGCAAGCTACTTAACTTCACCAAACAGTCCTTTTCTCCTGTTTGCAGTGGGGATAATAAGAGCACGTACCTCATAGGGCTGTGGCAAGGCTTCCTGAGATCATTTGGCTTTGAAGGACTTGGCACATGGTAGCCACACAGGAGTGTTAGTTCTCATTGCTGTTGCTGAGTCGGAAAGGCTTCTCTAGCTTTGGGCAGGAATGAACTGAGGAGGGTTATATGGGACATGAAGAGAACTGGGGGCCCCCTCGTACCTCAGTGCCTTGGTCAGAGATAGGACTTTCAGCCAGGTGCACTGGGGACCTGCTGCAGGAGGGGACCATCACGCTCCCTCGACACCATGTCGCAGGGCCGTTTCCTGTGTCTCCCTCCCTCCCTGGACTAGAGGGCTAGGGAGACAAGAGACGCCCCTGAGGGAGGTGGGGATCCTGGCACCTTATTTTGACTGGTGACACCCTACTAGACCGTGTGCGTGCTGACGGGGGTACTTTCTACTCTCCACAAAGCACAGTGCTTCCGGCAGGTTCTTGGTCAACGTGAACTGACAAACAAATGGACAGCTGCAGGAAGCTGTGGTGTAAGGTCTAGAGGAGCCAGGGTCACCCTGAGGTGCTTCCTCAGTGAGCTGGAAGGTGCTCCAGGATGGAGCGAGTGTAAGGAGCACTCTCCTAAGAGTCGGGAGTCCCGCTGTGTCTCCCACCAGCTGTGTAAGCCTGGGCAGAGCTCTGAGATGGGAGTTTGAACCCTGAGCTCTCCGTCTGCGAAGTGGAGGGGATGGTGACAGCACTCCCTGCCTTGCAGAGTTCCTGCAAACACAGGAGCTGGTGGGTGTTGGTCTGGGGTTGCTGGGTCCTTGGTGCCACAGGGTTCTGTGTGCTGGAGGGGGTCCCGCCTCTCCAGGGTGTCCAGCTCTGCCCCAGCCAGACACCCTCCTTCTGCTACTCTGGGATTTAATTGTGGGGCGAGTAAAATTACCAAGACAAATCTTGGGCTAGGGCAAGGTTCCATCTAGAGGAGGGCATGGGGCCCACAGGCTCAGGAAGGGGTTGGGAGTGTCTTACATTATTCTCCAGTTGGGCCCAGGTATCAGGTGTCTCTAGGAGTGCACAGTCAAGGGGAGTTCTTTGTCAAAAGGGACAAAGCCTTGCTGTCATCCTTGACTGCTCTCCTTCTCACAAGTGCCCTCCTCAAGGAGGCCCTCCCTG